ACACCGACATACTGAATTTCTCCTCCCCTCTCCCCGCCCTGTGTGCGCGAAAGAGCCAAATGACGCAGACAAGAACGTGCGCACTGAAACAAAAAGCATAAACGAAAAAGAGCCTGCGCGGTTGCTACTGTCATTTAGTCGTCGCAGTGATCGAGGCGGGACTTGAGGCAGGGAGGATGGTGCGCCATCGACGAAATGGATAAAGCGTCTGCCTACGCACCAGACAGATCCCACTCTAGAATCCTCGCCTACTCGTTAACCTCACCTTAAACCCTATCTGGGAGTTTGGGCAAAACCACTGCGGTCAGTTTCGGTGACAAAATTAGTAAACCTTATAGAAATTCAAATTACCCTCGAACAACAGTCATCTCGACCGTTACCAATAACACCTTAAATCTCAAGGCGATCGCTATACTACCTTATTTTGACGTGACAGATCGACCGTCGGTTTCGACTATGCACACCGCATACCTCAAGGCAATGACTTGCGCATGAATTAGTTTGTAAGTGACCGTAGACTCTTGATGTATCTATCGCACTCTTCCTTCCTTCGTTCGCCCTTTATCGATGTCATGACAGAGTCAAGAAGACCGGATGCGGGGTCAGGTGTACGACAAGATCGGCACCTCAGCGTATCATCGCGATCCTGAGTCACCAACAAACACCTGACCAGGTTTTTAACACTACAGCAAAACAACATATAAGCTGTGGTACGGATCCCAGCATATAGAGCCTGGACCTCCATCTTCCATAACTCATCATACGTCACCAGATAACAGCCAACACTTGACCTGGATTTTAACACATCAAGCGGATAGGGGGCGACAGTTCAGATGTCAGCTCAGGACAAATTAAAGCGTTAATGGGACGTAGAAAACGATGTATCCTGCGGATGGTGAGATAAAACTAAATAGCACGAGAGTTCGATAGCCGCAAGTGATGGGTCCACCGAGTGCTACAAGGGACTAGCGCAGTGATAGTAGACTTTTGCCGCATCTACCGCGCTCGCAATTCCATCGCAGTGATGGCCAGACTAGAGGTGGACACGGGTGCAGTGGTTGGCAGTGCTATACAGTCCGTCTACGCGTGCCACACACGACCTGAGAGCATTTGAGGTGTGCCCGGCTATTGCAAAGGCGGCTCAGATCCTATATGTAGACTAGAGCAACTCCAGCCAGACTGTCAGTCCTGAAAAGGCCTGATTAATTGATCGCAGCAGTTAGCAGCTCGCAAGGGGTCTCCGCTGCATTCAAACGCGTTAGCACTAAGCGATAAATAAAGACAAATATCGTTTTTACCATCCGCCAAAGAAGGGGAAGAAAAAGGTACGAGGACATGGACCGTTTTATATTGAGACTGGCGTTTCGGACACTCTCTCGGTTCCATCGTCCTCGAATCTTCACGCATAAAGACACATATAGTATCGAGCGCGAGCAGAACCAAACGCCAGCATATCCTGGATCATTGGAAGGTTATTCCTCTTCGCTTAGGAGCTGGAGTTTAAAGTTCGATTATGATGTAGTTCGCAGTTATGCTACGGCACCAGACCAGGAACCCCAAGGAGCAAGACAGAATTGGCAATACCCGACCCCA